CTTTTACAAACCTAACAAGCCTTGTGGGCAAAACATGGATGGAGAAAAAAGATTGTGGATGCCCTAAAGTGAAGAGCGACAGTATGGCCTTGTAATCACATCAAGAACCAATGTCCTGATTCCTGAGTGATATTAACAGTGGTGCTCAGGTGGTGTGGAGGAGGAAACACGTGTTCACCCCTGCAGGGACCATTCAATTTGTGGAGGTAGCACCTCCGGCAGCTGGTGCGCCAATAGATTTGGGAGGTGACGGGAGTTATTTTCAGTGACCCTTGTTCTAATAGTCCCTTACGTCCTGTCATGGATCATTTGAGTTGACTGATAGAGGCTTCAACAGACATTACTATAATTATTATTACTACTACAACAACAACAACAACAACAACAACAACAACAACATGTATTTGATATAGCACCTTTCACAGAAGTGCTCCACAAAATACAGTCAAACATGCAATCAATAAAAACAAAGGCAACATACAGAACAAAAGGAAAAAGAAAGTATTGACGCCCGATAGAAACATATCAGGAAACAAGCGCTAGACAATTCAGGCTAGGACAAAGGCCATTTTGAAAAGATGGTCTTCGGTCGTTTTTTAAAATTTTCTAAAGAGACTGCAGACTGCAAACCTAAAGAAAGAGAGATCCATAGTGTTGGAGCCACGACTTCAAAGGCACGGTCACCTTTTGATTTGAGTCTGGAGCCAGGGACAGTCAGTATGTCCTGTTTTGAAGACCTAAGGGACCTACTGACAATATATCGCTGATGCATTCAGGTACCTGACCATGGAGGGCTCTACAACTTCAGTAACATCCAGTCACCAAGCTTAAACATCCCATTGCCTGCATTACATACAGCAAGCTTAAGCTACAAAATACACTTTGTAGAAACCTGATAAAAGATCCAGCAGTTCAGATCAGTTCATGTCAGATTCTGGGCCAATTTGGATGCATCAAGTCAAATAAATCACTCTAACAGCCAATGTTACTGATTCCAGTTTAAAACATCCTCCGACCAAAAGACACTACAAACACGGAAGGCACTATAAAACACACAAACCACAATCCACATACCACAGTGCATATACCACAATACAAACATCACAACATGTCCCCCAATACATCTACTACAACAGACATACCACAATACGCCAGGACACTTACACTAATAGCCCTTAAAGGTTTGAGCGCATTCAGCTCTGGTTTGCTTTCAACCAGCATTTGACCTTTGTTGTGAAGGATCTTAAATCTGTAATCAGTTTGATTTCACTTCGTAATGTGTTCCAGAGCTGACAGCCCTTTATGGAAAAAGCTGATTGTCCAAATGTAAATTTACGATATGGTATTTTACAGCTGCCATTCACGCTGCTCCTTTGTTGCTCTATTACTGTCTTGTCTTTGAATTAATCTGGAAAAAGGCCCTGGAGCTAAACTGTTGATACATTTGAAAACTAATTTCAGGAAAGTTAATAAAGCTGTCAAAGCTGAAAAGATTGTATTGCTCTAATGTGTGACAGAGATGCCACCGGACAGGTTTTTTGTCCATTATTTTCAGTGCCTGATTGTAGATGATGCTTGAGCCCATACCATCACTGTGGGGTCTAATCGCAAAAGACTTTTCACAGTTCTCATACTTATGTGCACAAGTAAATAAATATCGATGGGCCTCATTCACTAATATCTGCGCAGAAATGTTCTTACTCTCCGCAAAAAAAAAGTACTTGCGCAAAATCACCATCGGATTCATGACACGTGCGTACCGGCCAATTTTGTTCTCACCACCGTGCATATGTTAGTAAATCAGAACCATTCTAAATTGACAGGCGCGTGTCCGCTATCTGCAATCATCATACTACCACGCCCCCATTTCTCCATATAAGGAAACCGCTTGCTTAGAGTTGATTCATGAATGAAGGAAGCGGTTACGCGAGGAGAGAAGTAGTAAATTTCACAGTTTGTTAGAAGCGATGGCGCCGGGTCTTACAGGAATGCCATGGGTCATTGTAAGATTGTGGAGGACACAGCATGCCAGGATGATCTTGCACACCTTCTCAGGGGTATAAAGTAGTTTGCCAACGGCCGTATCTGATCCAAACACATCCAACGGCCCTTAAGCACGCCAAAAGTGCTCTCTACGGCTCTTGTGTGGGCTTGTATGTTATTATAGCGCACCTCTTGAGGGGTTTCAGGGTTTGCGTATGGTGTCATCAGCCATGTTTTAAGGCCATATGCCCAGTCACCCAAACAATATAACATTTTAACATTAACGGAATAGAGACTTACTGAAAATACTAACTTAAAACAATTGAAATAAAAGACTAGAACAAAATATGCTCACCAATAAGTCATCCACTTCTTACAGCCCCTGCCTCCAAACGCATTCCCACTGTACTGTTTTGCAAAATAAATGAGTCGTGGGTGCCTCCTGGCCAGCGGGCCACAGCCTTAAGGATATGGCAGTCGGCATTACAGATCATCTGCACGCTGATGGAGTGATAGTTTTTCTGTTCATGTTTTTGTTAATATTTTAATTGTCACAATGATGAGGGTGAAAGTGTATCAATTTCATGGCAATTTAATCCATTTGGCCAATATTAGTAAATTAATTATTTTAAAAAATGTTAATTAAATCTCTTTTTCATGAATGTGGTTTTATAGACTCTGCATGTACTTAAAAGGTATGTTTGCATTTTCTAAGTCAGTTCGGCCTTCCTCATTTGTGCGTAAGCATGGTCTGAAGCAGTTCTAAATTTGTTCGCAGAGTAAGAACAAATTTGGGTAAGAAAATATTGATGAATCCTGGATTTGTGCGTCAAACGATCGTACGCACAGTTTAAGCACAGATTTGTGCGTACGCACTGTTTGTGAATGAGGCCCATTGTCTCTCAGAATGAGTCTCTCCTGACTGAATTAAGTTTGTACTATGAGCTGCAAACTGGTCTACGTGGTAAGACTGACTAGGTAGCTTGCAACTAGAGGTGTGCCATATCATTGCGGTATAATTTTTAATATCATGAAAAATTCCTGTTGTGATACACGCGATATTTTGACTTGTTCACTTATTGACGTCACACTGTTACCCACAAGAAGTATGGCTAAAAGCAAAATTACAGACTCTGTGGTGGTTCCAACAAGTGAAGCAGCTTCAGTAGTGTGGAATAAACTGTGGCGTCCTGAATGTTTTATGAACAGCCCCGGACTTCTCAGACTCTTTTAGCGAGTTACAGCTCAGAGGGAACTCATTCAGCTGCTCCTCTGGCAGCAGCACAGTGTCTCTCCCTCTCCTCTCTCGCTGTGCGCACACACACCTGTCACAGGTTACAGCTTGATGATTAGAGGAGAAATGGCAGAGCATAAAGGTCCAGGTGGAAAAAACCCAACTCAATCATTTAGGATTTTACGAGAAGAAGGAAATCACCTGTTGATTTATATATACAGATCCCAGGGGACATTTTTTTGTATTTGGAAGCTGTTTAAATGTGTAATTTGTGGTAGATTTGCATTTGTTGAACTATTAATATTGTATACAGAATCTGAATCTCACTCGTTCTCAGATCGTTTTTGATTAATTTTTTTTACTGAACCTCTCATATCGTCAAGAATATCGTTAGCGCAAAAACACCCTGAAATGTCGTTATATTATTTTAGGGCCCATTTTTTTCACCCATCCCCTAATTGGAAGTATTGGATGTAGCTGGTAGCTGCAGCCGCTGGATTCTGCTGCCCTGCTGCCGCCCATTCAGAATAAAGAACGAGTGGTAGCTGAAACCATTTTGAGCACATTTTATTTCAAAAAGGATAAAACAATATTTTTTAGCACTAAGCCCTCCTTCCCCCACCTAAAGTACTCCTCATTTATCTGGTGTTTTCTACAATTAATTCAGCTAACGTCGCTAGTGAACAACTTGTACCCAGCCAGCATAGCTAGCCTTGTCTTCACCTCTCTTAGAAAAGATTGAGATCATGAGCATATTAAATTTATGCATGCTCTCCAGTTACATGTAGTATTGTCTCCTTCTGGGCAAGCAGCCATTCACCACAGCAACACCAGACCTGTTTAAATCACTCCACGTAATCTGAGATGAAGGCAGCGATTTAGAAATCTACAGGCTATTAAAGCTGGAAAACTACCAAGTCTGCATTAAAAAACTGAGCTGAGGCAACACTGATTTCAAGGAAAAGTTTGGCCGCAAGTTGAAAGCTTTCACTCCCATTATGCTACAGGGGAGAAACATGCCTCAACACGGCAGCCTCGTTCATAGAAAACCAGAGCTAAATAAGTAGCAGGGGAGCAGGAGTGGAGGGGAACACTGCGTCCACACCTCCGTTTTAACTACTGACAGCGTTACGTAACAAGACAAAGCACAGGATGTCCGTGAGTGACTTTAATGGTCAATGCAAACCTAGTTTATATCTGTGGACAAAATAGAGCCCGTGTATGCAAATACACAGCCTTTCTACTGCCACTGAGGGGCTGTTTGGTGGAAAGAGGGGCCTCTACACACTAAACAGCTTCCCATTGTTCCGCAGTAGAGTACTCTCTGCACTCCAGAATTCCTGGGAAGCCACTTCACTAGAAATCTGCTGGGTGTTCTCTGTGGCTCTGTGCTGAGGGCTTCGCTGTTGTGCAACACGTTTCATATTCATTTGAATGCCTAAGCAGCGCAGTAACCATGCAACTGTACATGTTTTATATTATTCTGGGGGCTGAAATCATCCTGTGGCCCATTCAAAGCACATTTATCTAAAAAATTAGTTCCATATGGTGTTGAGCAATTTCTGTTTCCAAACCAAATGAATAAACAAGAATTGAAAATCTGTGTATCAGGAGTCACCAGATGCCAAAGAATGCATCATAAATGCCAAGCATAAATCTGCAAACAACATGACATAATATGTTATTGTATATTATCTCATAAACAGTTTAAAACCTGTCTGACATCTTCTAATGCAAGCACATGTTTATGTTACCAAATAAATACTAATATTCATAAACATACCTTGCTCAGGGGCCGATTCCAGCGCCGAGGCAGTGAAGATGTGAAGAAAGAAGAAGAGCATGGTGAAAGCGGCAGCCATGGCGTTGAGCTGTGGAGGAAACATGTGGCGAATGTTACTTTCTAAGTGCTGTCCACACAACCCATGAAGGCCCAGCCCACCACCACCATTAAACACTCCTTAAATTTCCTCAGAGGAGAAGCTGGGTACACCCATGATTACACCGTATTAAGTCACGGACGTGTAAAGTGCTTTAGATAAAAGCCTTCATCATATGACCGCATGTTTCAGTGTGTAAACCTCGCTCTGCTGCACACACAACAGCTTATCTGCTATCAGGTTATCCTATATAGTAATGTTCAGCTGGAAGAGCTGTGTTCCCTGCTTTTTGCTTGATACTTGAAATCTGAACTCTTTAGGGACAGGAACCCAAGAAAACCCTTACAGCCTTATAAACCCATTGAACCTGTTAGGCTGAATAAGACTTACTGTTCTACTGCTTTAGGATATTCAAGTTCATAAGGCTCGTAGTTTATTTGACCTCTACATGTGAAGTCACAGCTTTGGTCACTTTAAAATGGTTTCTTTCAGATTTTCATCAAAGTCATTTAAATTACTGACACTTTAACTGATATCTGCTCTCAGTTTTTACACTTGAAAAGGCACCAATTTATTTCAGGACCCTTTTCTGACAAGTACCGTTTTCCCACCAAAATTGCTGCATATAAACATGTTTTTAAATGCAGGAAAACTCGCCAAAAGTAGACATTAAGATTCCTTTACCATTGCTACCAGAGTCATGTACATGGCCCCATTGTGGACAAGTATTTTTTTTACTGGTGTGTTACTAACCCAGGTTAGTAAACAGTAGAAAGCAGCATGGAGGCTAGTGAAAATGTTACAACTGTTACTTCTTGCAACTACAACTTGGTGCCGACTAATTTGGATGTTCGAATGCTGTTTGAGACGGATGGGATTTGTAGAGGTGCATCATTGAATAGTGTGAAAAGGATCAAAGAAAAGGGTAGAAAATTAGCAACTGTTGTATTTCCGAGTTGATAAATGAGCTGTAACTACTGCAGAGCCATTTGTCCTGGGAATCAGTGTTTCTCAAATGGTGAGCCTTGTAATTTTGTGATGACCAAATATTATCTTTTTGTATCTGACTGGGCCAATACAAAAAGTTATTAATGAATTTTTAACTGACTGTATCAATATGTTGTGTGCACCCATTCCCAATAAAGAAGTAAACTCTGGCTAAAAAATGTAATTTAATTAAATTTAATTTAATTTAAAAAAACCTTCACTGGAAACCTATTTATCACCATTGGCACGTGGGAATTGTAAGTGTGTGACACATCTAAAGCCCCTAATGGCAGCCAGTGTGAGGGATGGTATGATTTAAAAAAAGAAAACCGTAAATGTGGGATCACTTTATTGTACGGAGCAAATTACATCAAAAGCACCAGCAAAGATGACCTACCGCCGAAAGAAAAGAGAAAAAAAAAAAAACGGTAGACAGTATCATGAAAGCTACCTGTCTTATTTTTTCTTATCTTTATTCTCTTATACCGTGATAAGAATGATAACACACGATATAGAAGCTATTGTGTACATATATAAATACAGGTGTGACTTGATATTTTGGCAAGACCGTTGGTGTGTCTTGGGCCATGAATAAATGGTGACTAACTTTTTTTTAAGTTAAGACAAAGCCAAATGTTAGTGGGTGTAAGTGGCTTTTGTCCAGTGGCAAAGGGGCTTTATACGCCAGCTGACACTTCAACTGCATTCACTTTGTTTGCACTTCAACTATTACTTTGAATTCCTTTCAGCAGCTTCACTTCAAATAATACTGTACTTTGACTTCATCAGTGCTTTAACTGAAACTGTCACTTTAATTTCATTCGACAACACTTTAAACTGAAAGTCCATTTTAATCGCCACTTCAAGTACTTTCAGAAATTTTCTATCAGCGTTTACACTTCCTGACGCTAGCGTCTTTCAGAACTTCAACTGACACTTGTAGTTTTTCATCATTACACTTCACCTGACATTTCAACTCCTTTTATTAGACACTTATTGTTTACAGTTCAGCTGCCACTGTCAACTTCTTTCAGCACCGCTTCAACTACTACAACTGCACTGCAACTTCACACAGTGCTTAAACTTCAGTTGTCACTTCAGCTTAATCCACTTTCATACACTTTAAAACTCTTTTTCAGCACTCCAATTCTTTGAGATTTCTTTTTTCATTTCATCTGATACTGATTCCTTTAAAGGCTTTATTTATACTTACATTATTGTAGTATTTGGACTCCTTTCAGCACTTTCACTTCAGCTGACACTATCCTTCAACTTCATTCACTCACTTCAACAACTGGCACTTCCATTTTCACTGCCACTTTTTTAGTAAATCTGTTCAGACTGTCACTTTGACTTGTTTGAGCACTTCAACTTCGGCTACACTTTTTAAAAATGAAAACCTACAAAGTCCATATTAGGAAATAAAAACTATTTCAAATGTTTCCACTGCAAGTTTTCAGCAATGACTCGTACATTTTCTCCAGAAAAGTTTGACCTCTTTAATGTTTCATTGCTTTTTACATGTAATATGACATAACATGAAAAAGAAAATCAAAGTGATGAATCATAGTGCACCACACTTATGAACAGCAGGGAGCAACAGCAGGACTAAATCAGAATCCGAGCATGTTTTATTCATACGATCTTCGTGGTATTCACACTGTTTATCTTTCCTGGAGAGAACATTTTTCTTCTGAACGTAACATCCATCTCCAGCCAACAGCGCTGGGCTCCTGCCAACACATGTGAAATCCATCCCCAGGACATTCTGGGCCTCATTTAGACCATGTTAACTAGTCCCTGTACAACATAGGGATTTATGGATTCATATTATTTTTCATCATGTAAAGAAGAGCTTTTTAATCCAGACGTTGGGCCCTTTGTAAGTTTATGATTAGGATTCCCCAGGTATCAGTCAGATTTATCATTTAAAATATCATTTAAAAGTAGTACATGTTGTAGTTGACGCTTATTTTTACTAGATTACAATAATTCTGTCATATCTGTAATTTGCTTAATTAATAATACTTAGATTTAAAGTGAAGTTTTCTTTTTAACTTCTTATCTTATTCGAAACGTGAAAAAATGAAGGGTTACATAAAGATTCAATGAATTGTAAAACATTCTTTAAATATCTTTAATAGCCAAATATGAAGGTTACTTGGAAACCGGCTGATTAGAATATTTGCTGATGACTGCTTTTTGTACCTTTGTGACAAACAATCATGTGCAATATTTACACTGTAGATATTTTCACCACTGTCTTAATGTTTTTATTTATTTTATCATTTGCTATTAAAGCTATTATATAGCTGTGTTCATGTTTATGTCATGTTTGGCTTGTTGTCTTGTTTTATCTGTTTTTTAAAGCACCCGTAATCTCATTATATTCAATATATAATGACAATAAAGCTTTCTATTCTATCCTCCAATAAGTATATGGGCCTTAAAATGCCACCATCACTTAGGCTCTTCCTCAGGTTCAGTATGTTCACATGAAACATGCTAAAAGCAGTTATTATGACATAATCTTTCACTATTTATTTTGGATTAAGTGGAGGTTAAATGCATAATTATATGTATCTCCACTGCTAGACAGTGACAATGACAATGTTCACTTTCACCCAGATAAACTCGCTGTAGTCATGACATTGTTTCTTTCTAATCTTTGTTCACCACTGTTGGTCTACACACAGCTGAGAACAGACAAGTGTTTACACTGTGGGATGTCTCACGCTGATAAGACACACTAACAGACTCGACTTGCTGAGCACAGCAGAAACTACGAACATATTCAAGGTTGTGGCGGACAGTCTGGGAACACCTTGAGGTAAAATTTGTAAATGTGCTTAACTGACATTTTGTCACTATTTCTTTTTATATGTAAATGTTTTTATTACTTAATCTATTATTTTATTATATA